TGCAAATTTGAGTCCAGAATGCAACATTGAGATTAATAGATAAGTCTGTTTGCCATTTAGTGGTTGGTAGAACTAATGCATTGTCTGATTTTGATATCATTTTGTATATTTGGGAGAGCAATTTTTTGGAGGGAGATATATTAATAAACTCTGAGATTTGAGGTGGAAGGTCTAGATTGATTGATTGGTTAGGTAATTTTGATTTAATTGATGATTTGATTTGTAAATATTCCAAAAAGCAATTACTCCCAATGCTGTATGTCTGGGCTATATGGGGAAATGGTGCCAGATTATAATTAATAAAGATATGTTGAAGTTGTGTGATTCCTTTGGCTGCCCATGTGCGAAAGTTAAGTGGCTTCTTGTTGGCTAGGAAATCAAGGTTATTCCAAATTGGGGTGTATTTAGATGGTGTGAGTGGGGAATTTGTGACCTGATGGAATTTCCACCAGGCTGTCAGAGTTGCTTCTATTGTCGGCATTTTAAAGCAGTGATGTTTCTTGATTGATTGACTGTGAAAGGGTAATTCTGAAATGTTAATGTCTTTGCATATTGATTGTTTAATGTCTTACCATGTGTATTCTGATGAGTTAGGTTTAATCCATTTGTGTATGTTTTGAAGCTGATTTGCCAAAAAATAGTTGTAAAAATGTGGTGCTTCTAATCCTCCTTGTGTTTTTGGTTTCTGTAGGGTTGTCAATTTAATTCTTGGGGACTTGTTTTTCCAGTAGAATTGTGTTATAATTGAGTCTAGAGATTTGAACCAGGTATGTGTGGGTTGTGTTGGAATCATTGAAAATAAATAGTTTATTTTTGGGAGTATGGACATTTTGGTTACTGATATTCTACCCATGATGGATAATGGTAAGTTCATCCAACGTTGCAGATCGTCATCTATTTTTTTTAAGTAACGCAGTATAGTTAAGTGCAAACAACTCTGACAGCCTGGCGGAAACATTGATACCCAAATATGTGATGTAGTTAGTGCACAGAGGGATTTGTGATGTTTGGGATGTCACATCCACACTGGTGGAATTTAATGGGAGTATAGCAGATTTGTTCCAGTTGATTGAATATTCAGAAATATTTGAAAAGGTATCAATAAGTTTTATTGTTTCCTGTAATGATGTTTGGGGATTTTGTAAGTATAATAATATGTCATCAGCATAAAGACTTATTTTATGGTGTATGTTTAATGTTTGAATTCCTTTAATATAATTGTTTTGTCGGATAGCTGCTGCAAGTGGTTCAATGAATATGGTGAATAAAGAGGGAGAGAGTGGGCATCCTTGTCTAGTTCCCCGGTGTAGAGTGAAGCTGCGTGATGTTAGTCCGTTAGTAATTACAGTAGCTGAGGGTGAAGTGTAGAGAATTTTTATCCAATTAATAAATGACTCCCCAAAACCAAACCTCTCTAATGTGGAAAACAGGAATTTCCAGTTTACTTTGTCGAAGGCTTTTTCTGCGTCGAGGGTGACTATGGTAGATTGTTTTTGTTTATTGATGAGTGGTGTATTAGGTTTATGAGTCTGCGTGTATTGTTTGATGATTGTCTACCTTTAATAAAACTGGTTTGATCTGGATGGATTATGGATGGCATGATTTTTTCTATTCTTTGTGAAAGTGCTTTAGCAATTATTTTAGTGTCTACATTAATTAGTGAGATTGGACGATAGCTTGATGGTAGTGTTGGGTCTTTATTAGGTTTGAGGAGGAGTGCAATTGTGGCTGTGTTCATGGTATCTGGAAGCTTTGAATTTTGTTTTGATTCGTTAATCAACCGGATGAAAAGTGGTGATTAAATTGACCAAAAGTGTTTGTAGAACTCAGCAGGGAAACCATCGGGTCCTGGTGATTTATTATTAGGCATGAGTTTAAGTGCATTTGAAATTTCTTGTTGTGATAAAGGGGATTCAAGAGAATTTATTTGCTGTTCATTTAGTTGAGGTAAGTTGATATTGCTAAGAAATGAATGAATTTCGTCCTGCGATGGTTTGTTTTTCTGGGGAATATAATTTACTGTAAAATTTTTGAAAGATATTATTTATTTCTTCTGGTGAGTTGGTGGGTTTCCCTGCTGAGTCCTTAATGACTGATATTGTTGTTTTTTCTTTATTGTGTTTGATTTGATTAGCCAGATATTTACCAGATTTGTTACTATGATGGAAGTGTTCTTGTCGTAATCTGTGAATAAGGAATTGGGTATGTGCATTAATTTATTTAATTGTGATTTATATTTTCTTAGCAAATCTTGTGTTTCTTCTGTTGGATTATTTATGTTATGGTCTTCTAGATCTTTAATTTTCTGTTACAGTTCAGCTTGATGTTCTTTCTCTTTCTTTTTTTGTAAACAGAGTATGAAATTATTTTTCCTCTTAATACTAACTTTCCTGTTTCCCACAGAAGAGATGGAGATGTTTCAGGGGAGTCATTTATTTCTAGAAAGTATGCCCACTCTCTTTTAAAATAACTGTTGAAATCCTGGTCTTGAAGAAGAGAGGCGTTGAATCGCCATCTGGAAATGGGGTTATGTCTGGTGGTTATATTTAGATTTAAAGGGCACATATTTTAGCCCTTTTTTGAGATTTAATACTAATATTATGGTTCTTCTGAGTGTGCCAATGTAGGTTCAGATCAAAACGCAATTCAGATATTGTTATTATGCTGTGTTAAAAAGTGTAAATTTAGAGGCGTGTACACGGGTTGCTGTTTTGGGGTGTGTTGTTTAACATGATAATGAGTTTCGACTGCCCGCCCAATGTAACAAGGGGGCGGAGCCAAGAGCGCGTCTGCTTTGTGCACCGTATCACAGAGGCAGACAGTAAGAGTCATCATGAGTGAGAGGAACACAATTCAACCCTACATATATGACCCAGACTCGGACACAGATCAAGCAAAGTCGACTGTTGAGGAATCTATAATCTGAATGTGCCAGTATGTGTCAGAGTGGTACATACAAAATATTTCATGTTTTTGTATACTTTTACAGCCGCTATGTAACTATGCATGCGCCATCCGTAATTTGTTTGATAAAGTTCGCGAACGTCATGCGTTACGTCAAACACAGACAAGACATAAAGATATCCACAAAGATAAATTTTGCATTGGTATGATTTATTCGTAATTCATGAATATTGACGTTGACAAATATTGGCAGGTGCTTGTGTGGCAATTGTGAAAAAATGCCAACTGAGGCTGAAAATGTATGCTGCAGGGAGATACCGCAGGTAAATTTCCAGTTTATGTTAACGTTGCTGCTCTAAAGACATCGAATGAGATAATAAACAGCATAACTGTGTCGTGTAATAAGGTTAGAAGACGAATGGATCAACTGGAAATGCAACCCTCGTGCATGACGGAGCATCCAGGAATGGATCCCGTTTGCTTTAATATTTATTCCTTGCAAAATGCAATCGAATATATACAAAGCAGACTATGGTCCCCTGCGACTTCGTGGAGTGCAAAAGTGAGTTTAAATAAATAGAAAGAATAGCAGGTTACCTTGTTCATGATCTGCATGCTCGCTTTCTTTTTAAGCACATTAACGCTGTGTAGTCAATAAAATAGCGGTTTTAGTTGGTTTTATGTCCGCACATTCAGAAGTCCCTGTATTGTTTACCATGATAGTTTAAACAATCTATCGTATTTAGCATGCAAGTATGACTTGTAAACAACATTAAAACTATCTACTTGACTGTAAACAATGTTGTACTTTGTCATTTGCTGCTAATACGATTTCCCCATTTTGAATTTGCAAAGAATACTTTACTGAAATGATACTATTAAGGAGAATGTCCGAATATCTGAATATAAAACCAACTTTACCTCAATGTCAATAAAAATGAAATACGTACCGTTTTTTAGTGCTGCTATTTCTGAGATGACAATTTGAATGACTTCATAAAAGGCTGAGTAATGCATGTACTTTTTATTGAAAATAATTTTAAATTCACTAAACATTAATATATAAACTCTTAAAATATATAAAAATCAGTATGGCATAGAAACATCAACCCTTCAGAAAAGATGCTTCAATTCCTGAGTCATATAAAAACTTTATATTGAAGTTTAAATTAAAATGTGATTGGCAAATATAAAATGTATCCTTGTGCAAATATAAAATATAAACTCCAAGTTGTCACTTTGTTGAATAAAATACAATTGTCCATGAACATTAGAAAGTACAGTATATCTACAAACACATACAAACATATCAAATATACATTGGCAGTTGAATAAACAAAATATGACTTCTGAAATTTTGTTAAAGCTAGTTATTTTATAAAAAATAATGTGTGCAATTTCTAAAACAATGTTTCATTATTATGTCTCTGTTAGACAGTGCCGCTTTTTGGCTTATCGGAGCTTTGTGAGCTGGTGTTGTGATTCCTGCCTGTGTGGTGCTGAAGATTCGGAGACAGTTTCCTGAAGAGCAGGGCAGCTATGTGGGTTTTAGGATAGCTATTGATTGAAGCGGGTCACCCTGCTGGAGTCACCCTGCCTCCTCCATCTCAGGTCGATCGTAGGCTGATGATAGAGCAGGTGGTATGTGAATTCCCAACACTTCATCAACATAGGGTGATGGGTCCACAAACACTTGGTTGAAGATGAGGTCCAGCAGCTCTTCTACATAACCTGTGCAATATAACAGTTATCTCTTTAGTAACTTAATTTTGTATTTTGAGTAGTGAGTTTTCATTGTGAATGTAAAGTGCAATTATTTTTTTTATTTATTGAATTATTAATAATACTATAAACATTTATATACATACCGAAAGTTTGCTGTGTCTTCACTTCTCGGACCCTATACTCTCCTTTCTTTGCCTTTGGAAAGGCAAGCTTGTAAATAGGTTTACCAGTTGCTGATGTGGCCTGGGGACGCCCGGCATTTTCATTGTAATGCAGTGCAGCCAAGTACAACCTAACAAAAAGAAAAATGTAAATGACGTACCATGACAAGACTGTATAGTATTGTAAATATTAATTTCTGATCATTGGCTTTACCTGCAAAGCATCCCCAGAAATGGGAATACCACATTTTTGGGTGCAAACCTCAGTATGACGCTGTGGAAAGCTTCAACAGTTGACGTCTGGTGGTGAGGACTTAGCTTGGCCACATCCTTCAATATTCTCTTGTTAGCGAGAACTTTCTCCAGCTTGTAGAATGGCATCGTTGCTAAACAAGCAAAAATTTAAGGTATTAGAGTCTAAATCAAAAACAAATCTGAACAAAGAAACAAGCTCTGTTTTGCATTAGTTTTAATCGCAAAGAATATTTTATTTGTCTGTATAAAACTTACCAGCCGACAGCCATTTGTTCTTGTCTCTGCTTATCCGTTGCGGATGCAGACAAGCCGGAAAATTGGGGTCTTCATGTACATGTTTGTCTTGTACATGCTTTAAGATAGAGGTCCACTTTGCCACTCTTTCAGGACCTGTTGTGGATGATGCAGCAGTCCAGTAGATGTGGTTTTTAATGCTACGTAACCATTTACGCAACTTCTCACACCCCTTTATCTGGCATATCTTGTCCAGTTTTTTGGAAATTCCTGGAAATTAAAGAAAAAAAGACATCAACACAAAAATAATAATAAACATGTAAGAACTGTAAATAGCAATTTAATCTTAAGTAAATGAATAACTGCTAAATTACATACCTTTCTCGATATGCCACACATCGTAAAACTGAGTGACATTTCGATCCCTGAGATATTTCTGTATTTGAGGATGTCTGTCTGTGATGATGCATTCCAGACGAACACCGCGGGCATCCAACAGGTCAAGGCTTCTCTTTAGGCCTTCTTTTTCCATATGGTAACTGCCACCCACCTCATTACTCTATAAAATTTTAAATAAGGTTAAAAAATATATATATAAAAATCACACATTTTCAATCCAAAATATTATGCTAGTTCACATAACACTTTTCTGTATTACCTGGACTAACTGTAGGTCGACCACTGTGTTAGTTGCAAGGTCCATCATTGTATAACTCCCATACTTGGCCGAGTGACCTTCAAGAACAAACCATACATAATTATTCAAAACACATTTTTGGAATAATTGTAATGTATTTCATATTTTTTTTTATTAGACTGTATTGAATTAGAAATTAAATCTTTTGACTAAATACCTGGGGAGTCAGCCCTCATATCTCCTCCAACAATCACATTCTCTCTTCGACTGAGCTGTTCTAGCATTTCACTCTGCCAATTTTTCCACTTGTGGACAATAGCAGGTTCAATGCAAAGTCTTGCATGACGGCGAAATGAATTATATTTAAAAATGTGTAGTTTCATGGCAGCAAATAACTGACAACAGAGAGGAGAATTTTTAGTACAATGTGCATGCACCCTGTGACAAAATTTATATTATGTTTCTAAAAGAAATGTGATAAATTTTGATAGATAATTACCTTTTCAACTACAAAAAATGATGCACCGCTCAAGTAGACTGCAGCAGAAAGATGCAGGTTGCCAGCTGGAGGACTACCAATAATTGGCTGACTGTTCCATTTTCTTACAAACTCGCAGTGTGGGCAGACTTGCTGTACGCTCAGAAATGTCCCAAGCCGTTGTGACTTTACATCACATCTCCTCTGACACACTGGGCAGTCACTGAAGAGCTCCATGAACTTGAACAATGAACTTGGCAATGTTATGAACTGGGAATTCTTGGATTCTGTAAAAATAAATATACACATGTACATAATAAAAAAAAATGATGATGAATGTTATGATGACAATACACAATCTATCAAATAATTTACATAATGCATAAACTCACGACAAGTCTGTTGGTTCAGTTGCAGATGTGCATTCCTCTGCAGGGTCAAATGTCACATCCGAGTCTTGGGCTATAATTTTTGACTCTGTCAAAGTCTCTTCGGCTTCTTCTTCTTCCTCCTCCTCCAGCTCCAGACGAGGTCTTTTTAGTGAAGGTTTGAGGGGTGTCGAAGTCATAAACGCAGTAGAGGACGCTGATGGTACAGTCAGTTCAAAACTGGATACTGTTGTCTGGACACCTATAGTGTAATTTTATGATTAATCTCATTGCACGTTTATAAAGATAATAAAACATGTTTCTAATGCAGCAACTTAAAATAAACGGAGAAATTTTAACTTACTTGTACTCCTGCGTTTAGCCTGAAGCGTCCTAAAAGACAACTGGGTACCAACACTGTGTAAAGATGTGTGAAAAGGTTCTGTCTGGCAAGCAACATCCACCTTGTTGCTCTTTGTCGACGTCGTGGCCTTTGTAAGAAAACATACATGTTTTAAAATGACCTTTATTTGATTAAAACATACCGATCTTATTGTAAACAACTGCAGACCACGTGCAAGTACAGTGAAAAAAATTACAACAAACATCCCACATACAAAACAAACTTTAGCTGTAACTTAGTCAGTGATAATGTTTTATTACAATGTTTAATTTTTTCTACGGTTTCTGTTTCTGATGGCTAAAACCCCTTTATGTACACATTACCACTTAAAGCTTCGAGTATTTAGACTGTTTTAGAAAAGCACAATAGCTGTAAACGCGCAAACATCCGAAGTAGCTTTAGCCGCAGATGCTATTCATTTCTGCTTAACATTACAGTATACACATTACAACAAACATCCCACATAAACAACAAACTTTAGCTGTAGCCAGTACTGGTTACTGCTTTATTACAATGTTTATATTTTTCTACGGTTTCTGTTTCTAATGGCTAAAAGCCCTTCTTGTACACACTACCACTTATAGCTTTGATTATTTAGATTGTTTTAGAAAAACATAATAGCAGTGAACACGTGCAAACAACCATCCGAAGCAACTTTGGCTGCTTTTAACTTTTAGATGCTATTCATTTCGGCTTACCATTACAGTACAACAAACATTTAACAACAACAAACTTTAGCTGTAGCCAGTGGTACTGCTTTTTACAATGTTGCTATTTTTCTACGGTTTCTGTTTCTAATGGCTAAACCCCCTTCATGTACACACTACCATTTGCAGCTTCGAGTATTTAGACTGTTTTTCAAAAGCACAATAAGAGGTAAACACGTGCAAACAAACATCCGAAGCTACTTTAGCCGCAGATGCTATTCATCGGCTTAACATAATTAGAATGCTAAGGCTAGAAGTACATAAATTGTAATACTTACTTGAAGTGAGGCAGGATCACGTATTGTAGGAACTGATCCAGTTTTCAAAAACAATTTACTCGCGAATCCGGAATTGTATTGTCCCGCGTTCTCGAGGCAGTCTACGCTAAAGTGGTTAGCGCAAACATACAACAGTTTTGGTACATTTTCAGGCACCTTGTCTTCAAAGATAAAACTCAGCCACTTAAGCCTCTGTTGCTCATTTGCAGGAAGACGGTGAAGGCTCTTGTGCTGAGCCTTACATCCTAAAATAGCACAAGGGTGTTCTCTCGGTGGCATCGCTTCGATGTACACGCTGATAATGGCGGAAACGGCAAACTCAGGATATGTTAATACGCGCAGCTGTCAATCAATTCTGTGGGCGGGGGTAATCGCGCACCTACGTAATGGTGCGATCGATTTGAAAACAGCTCCAATTGGCCGACCCTTTTTTTTGTAGTTAAATTGAAAAAAAAGGACTGGGTGTGTTCATATCACCCCAGTATGATGGTCTATACACTATACCAACACACAGATCTGTCCAAACAGCTTGAAAAGTAGATTTTTTACAATAGGTGCCCTTTAATGTTACAGGAGCGTGATCACTAATGATTATTGGGTGGATCTTTGATTCAGAAATATTAGATAAAATAGAATTACTGGTGAGAAAAAAGTCAATGTGGGAGTACGAATGATGAACTGGTGAATAAAATGAGAATGCTTTAATGTCTGGATGTTGGAGGCGCCAACTATCGCCAAGACCCATATCGCTCATGAACTGTTTTATAGTGTCTGCAGATTTCCAAATGCGTTTATTGCTGATATTATTAAATCTGTCTGTAGTTGGGTCTAAAACTGTGTTGAAATCACCAGCTATTATGACGGGGCAATTAGAAAGATTTGAAATGGCGGAAAAAAAATTCTGAAAAAAAGATGGGTCATCTGTATTTGGGCCATATATGTTTCCTATTGTGAGTGAGTTATTGTTAATTGTAATGTTAATTATGACAAAACGTCCCTCTGGGTCTGTAATTGTGGTGTTATGAACAAATGATATTTTTTTATTTATTAAGATACAGACTCCTCTCTGTTTTGTGTTGTAGTGGGCAGAATATGAATGATATTGTGATGATTTAATTTTGTTTTGATCAGATTCTGACATGTGAGTTTCTTGTAGAAGGCATATATCTGCTTGTAATTTACTTAAATGATTAAAAACTTTGATCCTCTTAGCCTGGGAGCCGAGTCCACGGACGTTCCAGGATAGAAATGTGATTGGTGACATTTACTAAAATAATAAAAAATTAAATAAATAAGTGAATACCAGTAATGTATCATGTAACATGTGGTAGTACTGCGTTAGTTACTTATGTATTTGAAAAGATGGGATATTGTACCTGTGTGTGTGTTTGTATGACAATGCAAAGTTAGACTGATATGCATACAGTTTAAACATGAAGTTGACAAAATGTACATAACAAAACAATGAACAAACAGAAATGACTGTAAATACCAACATAAAGTTTTAAAGTGGGAGAGGGATGAGACCTAGGTGCAATAACAAAACCATAACTTAAGGAAGATGTATAGAGAGATGATTTTAAAAAAAGCCATGGGGTAATGTCCTTATCGTGAAATAGTTGTTCGTCTATGAATAATTTGTCCACTGTAATGATTGCCCGTTTTCCTTCATTTATTTTTTGTTTTTTGATTGGAAAGAGTTGTTTTCGATGGTCGAGAATGTCCTTTGGATATTGTTCGTTGAGTCCGTAAGTTGTACCTTTAAGTTGTCTGCCTTGTTTTTGAACCAGTTCTTTGTGTTTGTAGTGTTCAAATTTTGCGATGATTGGACGGGGACGGTTGCTGTTTTGTTGCGAGTGGATGCGGTGGACACGGTGAAAGGTGATGGTTTGTACAGTTTCAGCAGGTAGTTTGAGTTGTTTTGTCATGAAATCCTTGATTAATTTTTCGGGGTCGTCTGGAGTTTGATCCGGGATACCTGTGAATACTAGATTGTCTCTCATACTGCGTGTTTTTAAGTCCAAAATGTTTTCTTTCATCGATTTGTTTTCTTTAACAACGGAAGTGAGCTGAGTGGAAAGTGCGTGAACTGAGTCCTTTAAAAAGTTGTTTTCCTTAGTGAGTGTGTCTATCTTTTCTTGACTAAATTCTAAGCTGTGACGGAGTTCTTGGAATTCTTTGTGGATGACTTCTATTAATGCGATTCTTGTATCAAGTCCGGAAAGTTTATTTTCAATTGAGCGTAGAATATCGCTTACCTCGGTGCAACAGTAGGGTGAGGATGGCGTTGAGTTCATAGTTAGCGGTGAATTAGAACGGGGTCTTTTGGAGATTGGAGTGAGGTTACCTTTTCTGTTGTGATCTGGCGTGTTCATATTGCAGCAGTGTGTGTTGTAGAGTGCGTCGATATAGTCTTCCAGTTGATCCAGGATGAAAAAAAATGAAAAAAGAAAATAGTACAGATGCAGTGATATAGTCCGATTTTTGATGAGCGAGGTACGATGATGATAAGTGAGGAGAAAAATGGAAATAACACCGAAGTTGTTTGTTTGTTTGTTTGTAGCAGACGGACGCCGCCATTTTGGGTCAAGCACCAGGTCTCGCAGAATCTCGCGTTACTCGGTCATCTCGCGCCTTCCTCGGTTTTCCACTTGCTGCTATTGCATTTCTGCTTAGACCTCTGAACCTACAACTTCTCTGTTGGTAGAGCATTTACTTAACATTTTGAGCTAGCAGGTCATGCATGTTTTCTGGGCAATGTAAAAAAGGTGTAAGTGTGACAACCAGTAAATTTAGACTATTTTTGGAAAAGGCGCTATACCTCTGGACCTCTAGGTGGCGCTGTCTTTAAACTTCTGGTATATTTCTGACTCATGCTGTTGGATGTCACATGTTGACTTTTGTGCGGATATGTCATACTTTTCAAAAGATATGGCACCTTATGCCCAACTTCAAAATGACAGACAGGTGGTCTAGCCCACCCTAGAAAATGTGATATTGCCAGATTCGACATGATCCAAGGAATCCATAGAATCCAAGAACATGATTTTCTGATCAACTTTTCAAAATTTATAAGCATAAATATGCATTTTAAGTGTCTCCTGACCTGTAGGTGGCACTGTGGCCAACTTTGGCATGGACCTTAAGATCATAGTGTTTATTGAGAATTTTAAGTTTCATTTTGATTAAGTAATTTTTGGCTGAGATACAGTCTTTGAAGCAATTTTTCATGTACTTTGTTATGTTTGCGACATCATAACTTTTGCATAAAATTGATTATTACAATTTTGTTTATTGATTTCTGTACGGCTCAGTCCATAAATTATCTGAGGCAAATTTGGGGAAAATTGGTTTAGTTTTGTAAGTACAAGTAGTAGGGATGTAACAAAATTGTAAATACCGTCATATCGCAATAGTAATTTTTTTTCAATATTACCATTGGCGCATGACTCAATAAAACTATATTTCTGAGAAAAGTTTGCTTAGGCGAATGAAGTGAAGGGGATGTAGCGGGAACTACAATTCCCATCAGCCTAGGCGTGGCCATCATCCTTTGCGGTCTGTTGTCACTACAGATCCAGTATTGTAGAAATGGAGTATGTTGCTAGTAGCGGGGAAGAAAAAGAGCTGGAAATGATCGAACCTTCTCTTTGTTGTTAGATCAACAGAGTCTGAAATGTATTTATAAGAAGAAAGTTGTATCACATGGATTATACATAAACTTTTAAAGAATCAAAACTGACAGAAGTCTAGTGTACATACCATGCCATAAGGCGAAGACATCCAAAACACTTCTGTTTTTTATTGTTTTTGCTTCTGCTACTGAAAAAAAAAAAAAAACAATAATAGTAACACTTACAATTATTCATGACTACATGTAATATTAGTGATTAACAGTTTTATTGATTCTCAGGCAGGTTTCAGCATGGAATACAGAATACAACTCTGAAAAGAATCAACATATTGTTTTTGCCCTATTAACAGACCCACCCCAAACTAATCCCTAACTACTACTTTAAGGTCCCGGCTTGGCTATCACTAAATACAATTAAGGCCTTTATCTTGTATAATGAAGAAAAAAAATAAAATAAAATACAATAAAAGTAAAATAAAACAAATGAATGGGTAAGTTCAGTAAATAACATATCAAATTTATACTGTTGGCATCAGTATATTTCTTATACATTTACTACTGTTCCATTTCCAAACAGTTTAAGTATTTAGACCATTTTTTAAAGTATAGGTTTAGCTTGTCCATTTGCTTATAAGACATTTTTTCAAATGCGGCCACTCTAGCAAGTTCTACTGCCCATTCTTGGATGGAAGGGGCCTCCTCTGATTTCCAGCTCCTAAGAATGATTTGTCTGCTAATCAGTAAACTGGTTTGGACCCAAAATTTTATGTTTTTATCTTTTATTTCGTTGTCTGTCCAACTACCTAGTATAAACAGTCTAGGACAGGGGTGGGCAAACTCGGTCCTGGAGGGCCAGTGTCCTGCACAGTTTAGCTCCAACTCTAATCAAACACACCTGCTTGTAGATTTCTAGTGATCTTGAAGATACTGATCAGCTTGTTCAGGTGTGTTTGATTTGTGT